ATCTGAAACCAGATATGAGCGCAGAGCGAGTCCGTTCACTAGTATACACTACATTGTAAACGGCAGGACTAATCAATGACTTTTCTTGGTTAGTATTCTTGGGATTCACAGTCTATCTTTAGAGTTCTGCTCATTATGGCACTTTTTCGTCAAGTTGGCAGAGCTCCGCAACAAGCTATGTGATGTGACTCTGATTGCCGAGGTAATTCTCAGATCAGTTGGACGATCTCAGAATGGGCAACAGAAACATTTCAGGGAACACGAATTGATGCTCATCGACTCGTCCTGACCGCGTGCTCAAATTATTTCAAAACCATGTTCACAAATGACACGGCTGAAATCCGCAAGCGTTTGTTTACAATTCGTTTTTTTTGTCATCGCATTGAATTTTCGCCATGTCAACGAACACTTGCAACCATCATAGGTTTTGCAGAACTTCTAGGGTTTTTTTTGCAGAGGAAGTCGAAATGGTGGGAGTGGAAGCCACAGCGCTCGTTGCACTTGTGGATTTCTGCTATTCCGGCAAGATAAAGATCACAGACATCGATGTGCAGCGCATTTTGACCGCGGCTTGCCTGCTCCAAATGAAGGAAGTTCAGGTTGGACTATTACTAAATGAAATGCCTAGCGTACAAATCTTCAATATTCCCTTCTTTTCTCTTTTGCAGGCGGCTTTGCTGTAAGTTTCTTGAAGAGACTTTGAAACTGACAAATTGCTTGAAAATACGAGCAATGGCCGAAGCTCACGCATGTGGAGGGCTTCTTCGCCGCGCGAACAAATATATCTTGCGTAACTTCCGGGTTACTCTTTTTTGTAATTCTACGCTTGAAAGCAGTAGATAGTGTTGCTGAGGGAGAGCGGTTGTCGATAACGTCTATGGTGTAGAAGGGCTGAGTGGGAGAGTGTTTCTTTAAGCATATTGTTGGCACTGACCAGTTTCATCAGCTTTCTGCTGATGACCTGATTGAATTCATTTCGAGTGATGAGCTGTACGTTCGTGCGAGGAAAGAAACAGGTATGTAAACCTATTCTTGGAAATGGGATCGTGTTTGTCTTTTGCCTTTCCCCCGCCCAATCCGCAGTTATTTGCTTACATTCAACGAACATTTTCTCAGGTTTTCGATGCTGTGATTCAGTGGATTAGGTTCGATCTGCCAGCAAGAAAGGAACTCCTGTCAAAGGTGAAGCTTATGGCATATTGGCTCATATTTTCGGAACCCTTCACTTTTATTGGTTTAGCAGCTTTTCAAGAAAATCTCGAAATTTTTAGACATGTCTGTTTATCATCGTCATCATCATCATCATCATCATCACCTTCTTCTTCTCTCTGCCGTTACTTCCCGCCCCCTTGCGGGGTCCGCTGTTCTTGTTAACAGTCGCCATCTTCTTCTATTCAGGGCGTCCTCTGCCGTAGCCTTCACTTCACTGAGGTTTTTCTTGATCACGTCCGTACACCTTTCTTCGGGACTCACTACGCAGGTCGTTAGCCTCGTGCTCCGAAGTCCAGCCCCTTATGGGATGCTCCTCGAACCTTCTCAGTACGTGTCCTTACCAACGCAGCCATTGCTCTTCGTGCCTTTAGCTGGATTGGAGCTGTTTTGTGTGACCCTCCTGACCTCTACTCTTCTGAACTGTTTCGTATAACTCTGTCTAGTCGTGTCCAGCCGCAGCCCCATCTCAGCATCCTCATTTCAGATCAGTGGAGCTGCCTTTCATGGTTCTTACATATGGGCCAGCACTCACAGCCGTAGAGCATCGTTGGCCTCATCACTGCTCGGTAGACCATGCCTTTGAGGGTCCTGGAGCACCGCCGGTCGCACATAATGCCGGTGGACTACCTCCACTGTATGCAAACCGCATTTATTCGAGCCTTCACTGTCTGGTCCACGCTACCATCCTGGGCCAGATCTCTTCCCAGGTAGCGGGAGTTCTCTACCCTCTCGAAAGACTCTCCATTGTCCTGAGTGGGCTTGTTGCGCCCTTCGGAGCTCAGGTCCTTGGTCTTCTTAATGTTCAGCCGGAGGCCATTCTTGGCCAGTACCTTCCTGCCATTTTTGCACCTTCCCCTGAAGTTCTTCTCTGCTCTCCGCTATCAGGGCAATGTCATCGGCGTAGAGGATGGTCTTGAGGGGCCCGTCCATGAGTTCCTTTGCCATGACCTCCAGGGTTTAAGGAAGAGGAAGGGGCTAAGAGTAGGAAGAGGAAGGGGCTAAGAGCTAACTCTTGGTGTACCCCAACCCTCCCCCCCTTGTCAGGCCGTGCTGCGTACAGCCGCCTTTGCCCCTATCGTACATGTCCTTCATCAGGAAGATGAGGTGCTCGGAAACATTCCGTACTCTGATAGTCCAGAGAACAGGTTGCGGTAAGCGATCGGAAACTTCTCTAGATCCAGGGAGGCTAAGTTGTAAGGTCGACGCTTCTCTCTATACTTCCCCACCACCTTTCTGGCGAAGATGGCATCTGTAGTGAACCTTTCGGGCATGAAGTGTGTTGACTGACCGTACAGCTTCATGGTATGTGCGGTCAGTCTGATGCTCCGGTAGTTGGAGCAGTCCGTCGCGTCTCCTTCTGCTGAAGATGGGGACGATTGTACTGCACCTCCAAGCATCCGGCATTCTTCCTTCGGCTGTTATGTTGTTTCGAAGCGGGTGAGCCAACTTACTCCATGCTCTCCAAGGGCCTTCCAAGCCTCAATCGGGATCCCGTCTGGACCAGTCGCCTTGCCAACCTTCATTCTTCCTAACTCCCTGCGGACCTCATCCTCTGTCCAGACTGTGATGGGACCAGCCGTCGGCTCTATTTGTGGGCTGTCTTTGCGAGGGAACTCCTCGTTCAGAAGCTCTGTGAAGTACCCTTCCCACCTTCTCTTGACTTCGACTGGCTTCTTCAGGATGGCACCGTCACAGCCTTTTACAGTCTTCACTACCCTGATGTCTTGGGTAGCCCGATGGCGGGCTTTAGCCAGCCGGAAGACGAACTTGTCTGCCTCAGGGCTGAGTTCGTCGTACAGCGCGTCAATTTCCGTGTTCTTCGGCTTGGCTGCGGCTACCTTAGCGTGTCGTTGCACCTCTTCAAGACAGCGAGATCTTCTGGAGTCCTTGTCTTCTGCCATTGCTTGTACGCCTCCTTCCGCTTAACCACCTGCTGGACTTCCTCATTCCAGAACCACGCTGCCCTGTCTCCTCTGGTTCCCCCTCGTGTCTCTCCTAGTACTTCTTTAGCACACCGGAGGATGACATCTGCTGCCCTGGCCCACCAGCCTCAGATCTAATCTGACATACTGATGTTTCTCTGAATTTCTGTAGCACCTACGATTTCCCATCCAGCACGGCCAGCGGTAAGAAGCGGGTGCTATATGTTAATCATGCCTAGATGAGACAGTGCCTTGCCGCAAAGATTCAGCACCAAGAAGGGACCCTCTCGGTTGTAGGTCAACGATATGCGCTGTGCCTGAGAACTCCTACCAATTAACGCTATAAGCAATGCTTAGCCCTTCAGCGATTAGCGCGATGTCAAAATCAGCAAATTTGAAAAAAATGGGACTCTCACCGCCGTAAAAGGTCGTGGAAAGATAATTCATTGGATGCAACTCGTCTGCTTTCACCACACAACTCTTACCTCGCCCAGAAAGATTACCCCGCTATCTCCCATGTAGCTCACTTCCTCGAGGAAAATTCTTGCAATAACCAGCAAGGTCCCAAGGACCGACATCCAGTTTTGCGGAACCGGAAGTCCTGGTTTCCAGCAAAACAGGCATGAGCAGTGGAACCATACGTTGGCTCTGTAATTGTAGATAGTGGTGGTGTGCAAGGGGGAGGGGGCAAAAAAAGACACTTCGGTCGACATATCAGCAAAGTTTTCGCAGCCCAGACAGAAGACGTGGATACGAGTACCAGGGCGGAAGATACCCAAGATGTTCCTCGATAAGCAGGAGCAGGCTCTCGTCCATCACCTTCATGTACACCAAATATGAAGCCATCTCCAATCGCAGCCTGACTGGAAGGCCTATGGAATTCACGTCACCTCCAAACAGCTGCGAAACTTCTTGTATGGAGTCACCCATGGACAGCTACCTGGAGACCAGCACTCTGATCTGGAAGACCTCCAACATCGAGCAGCTCCGACAACGTCGCTACGGTCCAGGATCATCTTCACTGCAGTCGCCAAGGCTCGGGTTGGTGCGGCCCGGAAGTTCCTGAATGCGAAGGCCGATATTATTTTTCGTAGACCGCCGGACTGAAAGTGAACGCTAACGGTCACATCGACAACTCGCGGGAATATTCTGCCTTCGCCGTGTACCTTCTTGGCTTCGTACTGCTAAAGGATTGGGTGCCACCACATGAAATCGAAGGGCGTTGGAAAAACTCTCGCCTACTTGGAATGGAAGGGCGTTGAGTACCTGAAGAAGACGGAATATCTAAGTGTGTCCTCTGCCCTAAGCCCTTTCGATTGACGGGTTCCGGCGCAGCTCAACAGGGTGGTCTACAGTGACGGTGAAATCAACGAGCTCGCCAGACTATTTCTCAATGGCGTTCGTCCACTAGGCTGTGGAGGAGTGCAGTGTTAGTGTAAAGTGCTGTTAAAATTCGGTAGTGGGAATGCCCAATCACAATTTAGTAAAAGCTGACTTATATTGCCTTGAAATTCGAGGAAAAGAGTTTTTTCTTGCCCTCCCCCAGTGTGGGCCACATCGCATTCAGTAAGCCACTTCATTCTAAATGGAAGTCGAATGCATGCCGCATCCCACAAAAAAGTTTATCCACGGCGGACACTCTTCGTCCTACGTACTTTATACTACGACGCCCCAACGAATTTAAGAAGAACTGGGAAAATCAATCTCAAAAAGTTAGCCAAAATGTTCCAGAGAATATGAAACCTTATATACGCTGTCATAATGACAGTTTTGATCATGGGTCGTTCAGCTGTTGGAGCATGTGCGACTTTCGCTATGCCCTCCAAAGATTCCTCGTGACCACAGTCAGTGAGGAACGCGTTGGTGATGGGCAACGCTGCTTGTCGAAGTCTTCTCGATGAAGCAAAAGTTAGTATTATTCCCAGAAGACTACTCGAATCGATATATTTCTATTCCCCGTTTCAGAACTACCAACTTCTGAGATTCTCTTCATTTGAACAACCGAATATTCAAGAACCACGCACTCGATCGCGGGAGCCACTCAAACTTATTTTGCGACACATTGTATGCTGGTAAGTTCAGGACTGTGCAGCGGGATTCGTTTTGAAATTTTGCGATTTACTCTTTCAGTGGGAAGACACATAAAGGACGGTTTTGTCTGTGTGGAACGCATTAATCCCGAAGAAGCGCGACCCGTATGGCGAACGGTTGCTCCCATGAGCAGGAGAAGGTGCAGCATTTGCTTTGAGAAGTAGAAGATTAAGGAAAAAAACCTCCGCCTCTGTATAGAGTCGGACTCGGCAATGCTTTTCTCGACGACTTCCTCTACGCTATTGGTGGTGTGGATGGCGAAACATATTTGAATAGTGCTGAAAGGTAGTATAATCATTTTCTCAGATAAACGATCGAATTACACTTCTTTATGCCTTTTTTTCTGTGACAAGTATTCAGTTTTAAAAATGCTACCATAATGCTCAAAACTTCCCGAAGTTTGAAGAAAATCTCAGTATAAAGGATGAAGGATAAAGTCTTCGCCGTTGATCAATCCCTTCGTGGGATGCGGCATGCATTCTACTTCCATTCAGAATCGTAGTGGCTTATTGAATGCGATGTGGCCTATACAATGACTTGGGGGGGGAGGGGTACTGTCCCAGAATGGGTAGAAGAGAAGGCTTGTTGGCCTGGCCAAGAGTCGACCCGGGATTTGAACCCGGCGCCGTGCGAGTAGTAAGCGCGCCACGGAGTTTCGCGGAGTATGTCGAAAGAAATTACAGTTCTTATGTAATATCAAAGAGAACTGCGTAATTGCAACCCAGTGCAAGATACTTCAATATGAGAAAATCTCGCACGAAAGGTTTGACCCTCCCGAGGGTTGTAAAGGCTCTAAAACGCGCAGGGTCACCGACTCGCGAATGTTCCGCGCATGAAAACTTGTTCGAATCTCATGCTGTATATAAGTGTGAGAAGGAATCTGTAGCTCTGCATTCCGTCAACGATCGGAGATCACGGACGCAGCGACATTTGCCATGGTTTCGAAAACTAGGTGAGCCGGGCACGTCATGCGGTTGAGAGATGACCGCTGAACCAGTGCGAATAGGGACTGGATTCCACGAAATGTCAAACGAACACCCGCCTACTCAATCAGGGTACAGCATTGTTGTGTGGAACACACAGGGGAGGGGTGGCCTACAGCCTACCATACCTCATCACGATACTGTACCCTGTGACTCGGTGGTCACACTTCTTCATGACAACTCTGATCGAATGAGATTATGGTGCTCGTCTTGTCCTTCGGGCACGTAACAACTCATTAGGCAACTCTAGTGCGTTGCAGGGACGAATGAAGACGCTACTGGAGCTTGTTCGAGCAACTCAGTGATAAGAGACGAAACATACGCTCACCTGCGGGGTGCACCCCGGTCCTGTGCCCGGCAAACAAGCCTCCAGTTGTCGAAGCGTGGTGCTATCCCAGCCCGAATCCGCAGGGATGAAGCATCATGGTCGTGGGGTAGGCTGTTAATGAACTAGTAACGTCATGAGGACACCAAAACCACAGACATACGTTTCTCAAGGGCAATCCGCAAAAAATATGACATGTTGAAGTGTCTTAAGTACACCCGTAAAAACAGCCGGAATCCTCCCTTTTTCGCTCTCTGTCGACCACCAAGGACGATTGGTCATTCGCGATAAGAACTGGGTGGACGCAACATGATGTTGAAGTTGTTGTGGATGAAGTATATGCATGTTGTCATTGCCATCTGCCTATCACAGACAGTTGTCTTGGTCATCTTTGTCGTCACTCCTTGCCCATCTTTGTAGACAATATTTGCCCATCCTAGTTGATTGTCCTAACTCATCGTGGTCGACCGTCTTTGCCCATTATTGTCAACCGTTTCAGGAGTGGCGGCTAATCTAGAAGGTCTCGGACCTGGCCGATTCTGCAGTTAAAACGCTAATGTTCGACGATCGTTCCCACTGATAGGATCCGGTAATCCTTAGTGGGCAGGAACAACACATATCTTGCGAGCTCTTCACGGAGGTTTGCAGTGGCAGTATTTACAGTTATAATTCCTGTTGCTGATAGGGCGTAAGACGGAACGTGGCTTGGAGCGATTCAGGACAGCTGTCCAATCAGTTGTGGCCGGCTGAAGACCCCATCGTTGTGGCCACCCTGTCTGCGCCCCAATACGCGCCGCGTGACACGTCCTGTCGTTTGCAGGGTTCTTGACTGTATATCTACCATCTCCATACCCGTCCAGCTCTCTATGCGCGACAGAAACACGCGGCCAGCAGATATTGAGCGTCTTCACCGTGCGCTTTGCGCACAGAGTGTTTTGCAAAGCCAATTGTACTAGGGTATTCGACGTTTTGCTGGTGGAAATCAGTGAACTCCAGTGATCATCTCGAATCTTGCAGCAAGATGAGAAGCTGTCGCTGTTTTGTAGTTTAATTGCTGGCGTCGTGGTGTCTGCAATTTCTGACTGAGCGGCAACGTTCTCATCGACATTTGTTGGATGTGGTGACTGTTGCTGAACATCAGGCTTCCCTCTGAACCTGAGCCTGAAGTGGACCTCATGCCTCTGGAGGATGAGATTGGTCCAATCTTCGTTATCTACATGAAGTGAAGATGTCTTCGATGGAAAAAGATCATCAAAATTCCGAATCCGCAATAACGCCTGGCCTGAGTCAGTGCTCATCGATTCGCTACACGATGCTGATAAGGAATCTAATAATAACACGAAGATGCACCAAAAACTTCATTTCAGAAGGCTTCAGCAACGAAGTTTTTGGATGCCTCTTCATGTCACGTTAAGATTCAAATGAGGCTGCAAGACAGCACGAAATCAAGATCCTGATAACGCTTCAACCTTCTGATCAGATGTTTCCGGTAGGTTTGCGGCAACATCTTTTTGATGTGCCGAAGAAGCACGATAGTCCCCAAGACCATCGCCAAGGTTGAATGCAACGACATCGAACGCTCCTTCGAAGAATCGCCTGTGACTTGCCTTAGTAGGTTAGTGAAATTTCGATCAACGCAAAAAGCTCATCTGAACAAATACTAGGCAGGAAAGAAAGTCCTGTCAGTGTTTTTTGGATAGCTCACAGCTATTGATACTTAAGGATTCAAATGACTTAACATGCTATGTCTGTACAGTGCGTAACAAAAGTATGAGGACACCTCAAATTCTGACTCTGCAAGAATACCTTCGATTTTGCGAATAGGACCTTCACTATTCGTTTCCTCAGGTATATGGAACCCTAGTGTACTTCACTTCCCTCTACTTTGGAGGCGATTTCACATATTCTTAATTCTGGAAGAAGTTTCTTTGTACCAAAACGTACAGTCGTGATCCCCTCCAGCACTGACGCCAATGCCGTAATTGCGTACTTCACTGGGACGCGACGGCGGCTGCAGTAGGAGTGGCGATCGATGCTGCATGATCACCTGATTTCAGCGATTAATTTTTCTATTTTGCCTGTTATTCTGCTAACTAGAAGGAAAAGTGAGTTCATATTATTTTACTCTAATTTAAGGTTTTATTGTAATGTTTTGCTTTCAGTCGCTATTTGACTGCAGTGACGGTGTTTTTACCCACTTTTTGATTTTGTTTAGGTTTTTTGTTTGTGCTTTGAATGTTGGACTGTTCTCCATGGCAGTGTCGTTATGTGTCCTCATTAGTACAAAAAAACCTAAACAAAATCAAAAAGTGGGTAAAAAACACCGTCACTGCAGTCAAAAAAATGCCAGGACCCCTTGAAAGCAAAATATACAATAAAACCTCAAATTAGAGTAAATAATATGAACTCACTTTTCCTTCTAGTTAGCAGAATAACAGGCAAAATAGAAAAATTAATCGCTGAAATCAGCTGATCATGCAGCATCGATCGCCACTCCCTACTGCAGCGCCGCTCGGCCGAGTCGCCAGTGGAAGTACGCGCAATTACGGAAATGGCCAAGTCGCTGGAGGGATCACGAACTTGTATGTGGGACAACAACTGAGCAAAAATAAAAATATCTTCGAGATGAAAGTCTGCAGGAGATCACGACTCAGCGTGTCTTTCACCACGGCCGGCAGTGTGATAGGGTTTACCTTCTCAAGGCGGAAATATTTGCTGCTTGCGACGACACGAGACAACCATGAGAAGCCTGACTCAGGAGCATGCCGGGTAAAATGATCAAGCTAGAACAAAATCGTATAGGAGCTACCATACTTTCTTTCCGAAGATTTTTAAAATTTCTCAGGTCCACGTGCTTTTGGTACAAAGAAACTTTTCCGGTAATAAACAAAATGTGAAGTTGCTCACAAGATGCTTCTCAATAAGATGCCCTAAAGTTTCCGTACCCGGGGAATCGAATAGTGAAGGTCCTATTTCGCCAAATCAAAGGTATTCTTGCAGAGTCAGAATTTGGGGTGTCCACATACTTTTGCTACGCTGTAGAACACTGTCGAAGCTTTTCCGCAAGGGGTTCATGAAGGCGCCTGCTCTTCCCTGAGTTCAATGACGATGTCATTTTTACGGCAGCTTCGAGTATCATCTTCTGTGATGGGAGCCGCGGCAGTAGAGCAACGGCAGCTTTCCGCATCATCAACATTGCATTGATGAAGGAATCCGCCATCATCAGAACTCCACCACTGTTCGTTCTATTTCGCTAAAGAAGACACGATCTCTGAACACAGACCTTAGTCGGGACAAGTCGGAACGCCCTTACAAAATGAAAGATCTGCCATTCTCGAAGCTGTCGAAGAGGATCCGGAGGCTGTCAACCGCATATTGCGACATGACTGAGATATAGCCACTCAACAACTCTCGGTCGCGTCCAAACCCTCGGCTGCAAGGAAGTGCTCACGCGATGGTTGCCCCACACCTTAGCGGATGGCACACGGTAGACAAGGGTAAGCATCTGTCAATCAATCTCTCCTTCTATACCGTCACCGGAAGGAGTTTCGAAGG